TGTTTTGAAAGAATTATAATTGGTGCTGGCAGACTTTGAACTGACCATCTAACACACGCCTCACTATTTGGCTAGCAGGCATCCAAAGGAGGGGTGTGTTCCAGGAGGTGTGGAGGTTGCGAGGAACCAAAGTCAAAAGTTCGTGGTGTTCTGAGAATTTAAGCAGGAGAGGTACATACGCCCTGCTTCCTCAATATCCTCCCGACTCCCCCCCGACTCTGCTTTGAGGGACTCTGAGCCACGCTTCCTCCATGCTGAACCTTCTTTCATAGCTGTAACCATTAACAGGTCCATGAGGGAAAAATCCCTTCTGATGGGGACGCCTCAGGGCAAAGGACCGGTGACGGCCAGGCTCTGACCTGAGACCCACAGAGCCCATAATGGGTGAGACCCTTCAGAGGTCTGAGTCCTGAGCAAAGGCTGCACGCCGTGTGCTTAGAAGGTTCTGAGCTGATGCTGAGGTGGTAGGGAGGAATGGAGAAGTCAAGAGATGCAGAGAAGGTAGGGTTGACCAGTTGGCTGTGGAGAAAGAGGGAGAAAGATGGTGCCCTGACATCTGGCTTGGTGATGGGCTGGCACACAGCAGGAGGAGCAGTGTCCTTGATTTGCTATTTTTGAAATCCAAAGCAAAAGGATCCCTTCTGGAATTGATAACTCCTAACCACTGGGTTCCAGTCTCTCCACCTTGAAAGGAATTCTCCTTAAGTGACCTTGGTTATACAACTGGTGTGGGATAGACATCCTGCCGAGGTGTCTTACCTCCTGTCTTCCCCAGCCATACACATCGGTGTCGGGGCCATCTGGCTCCACCCAAATTCTTCTTGCCTTTCGCTGTGCTACGTCTTCTTTCTGCGTAACAAGCTCGCAGTCATATTTCAAGAGCCTGTTTGCTTTCTGAACTCTGCAGAAACCTTTCTGCCCCGTCTCAGGCAGAATTATTTATTCCTTTCTCTGCTGTCTTCCTAGGTTTTGCAAATGTCTCCTCTGCTCATCGAAGAGGAAGAATTCTTTACTTATCCTCTCAATATTTGCTGAGTTTATAATAAGCACTCGGTCAATATTGAAGACATGAACACACAAATGAATGTATGAAATGCGTAAATTAGTCCTTGTCTTCAATGGCTTATTTTGCTACGTAGAAACGGCGCAGGGTCAGCAAAGCCATGAAACGAAGGCTCCTCGCACTTGGCTATTTATCTGGAGTCCCTCCATCACTACTTGCTGGCTTTCAGGGGAAATCCCATCACCTTTGAAACTGAGCGTGTTTCCTCCACTGTAAAAACAGATGGATAACACCTACCCAGGGGCAACTTCATTGTGAGGGTCACCTGGTAAGCGTGTGCTGTGTGCATCATGACTCGATATTTGGTGTCTGTGAGGAAGTGGTAGATGGTGGCGGTGGTGACCAGGAGTTAGTTGCATGATTTTCTTCTCTGAGGGGGTTATCTCTTAAAAGAATGGTTATTGTAGGTTGAAATTTTTCTCTTGAAAAGATGTGTGGAAGCCCTAATACCTCAAATGTGTGACTGTGACCTTATTTGGAAATAGGGTCTCACAGATATTATCAAGTTAAGATGAGGTTCTCCCTTGTGGTGGCCTCTAATCCAATAATTGCTGTCCTTGTAAGAAAGTGGGTTTTGTTTCTTTTGTTTTGTTTCTTCAGCTTTTTCGAGGTGTAACTGACAAATAAAACTGTATGTATTCAAAATATATAATATGGAGGGGCGCCTGGGTGGCTCAGTCAATTGAGCATCTCACTTTTTTTCTTTTTAATTTTTTTTAATGTTTTATTTATTTCTAGGAGAGAGAGAGAGAGACAGCGTGAGCAGGGGAGGGTCAGAGAGAGAGGGAGTCACAGACTGAAATAGGCTCCAGGCCCTGAGCTGGAAGTCAGCACAGAGCCCGACGCGGGGCTCGAACCCACGAACCGCGAGATCATGACCTAAGCGAAAGTCAGACGCTTAACCGACTAAGCCACCCAGGCGCCCCTAGCATCCCACTCTTGATTTTGGCTCAGGTCATGATCTCAGGGGAGATTGAGTCCCGCTCAGCATGGAGCCTGCTTGGGATTCTCTCTCTCCCTCTGCTCCTCTCCCCTGTTCTCTCTCTCACTCTCTTTCAAATAAATAAATAAATAAATAGAGCGAAAAATCCCTGCATTGTTCAAGTCCTGTTGCTAGTGCTCTGTGCCATTACTCGGACTTCGTGTCTAAACAAAAATAAAATAAAAATAAAGTGTATAATATGGTGATTTGATATCTGTTATACTTTGTAACTATTTACCACAATCCAGTTAATTAACATCCATCACCTGACAGAATTACTTTGTGTGGGGGGTGGGGTGGGGAGGAGAACAGTTACATCCTACTCTTAGCGAAGTTCAAGTATGCAATATTGTATTATTAACTAGCATCACCATGCATTAGATTCCCCAGAGCTTATTCATCTTATAACTGAAGCCTTGTACCAACATCTCCCCCATCTACCCCCTAGCCCCACGGCCTTGTAACTACCACTCTACTCTACCTATGAATTCAAGCTTCTCTCCCACCCCACCCCCACCAAAGTCCACATATAAGTAAGATCACACAGTATTTATCCTTCTCTATCTGGTTAATTTCTCTCAGCATAATGCCCTCAAGGTCTACCCATGTTGGGACAAATGGAAAGATTCTTTCTTTCTCATGGCTGGATTATATTTCAGTGTGTGTGTGTGTGTGTGTGTGTCTGTGTCTGTGTCTGTGTGTGTTTGTGTGTGTACATATGCATACACATATACATTGTGTACATACATACATACACCACATTTTTTATGCATTCATCCGTGGATGGACACTTAGGTTGTTTCCATATCTTGGCTATGGTGAATATGCTGTAATGAACATGGCCGTACAAATACCTCATTTTGTTTCTTTCAGCTATATACATATCCTGGGATTGCTGGGTCATCTGGTCTATTTTTAATTTTTTTTAATGTTTTATTTATTTATTTCTAGGAGAGAGAGAGACAGTGTGAGCAGGGGAGGGTCAGAGAGAGAGGGAGTCACAGACCGAAACAGGCTCCAGGCTGTGAGCTGGCAGTCAGCACAGAGCCCGACGCGGGGCTCGAACCTACGAACCGCGAGATCATGACCTAAGCGAAAGTCAGACGCTTAACCGACTAAGCCACCCAGGCGCCCCTATTTTTAATTTTTTAAGGAGCCTCCATATTTTCTTCCATAATGGCTGCACCAATTTACACTCCCACCAACAGTGTACAAGGTTCCGTTTTCTCTACATCTTCACCAATCCTTCCCCAGTGTCTTTTTTTTTTTTTTTTTTTTTTTTTTTTTTTTTTTTTTTTTTTTTTTTTTTTTTTTTTTT